GGGCCGGTGGCGTGGGGGGCAGTGCTGGACAGGGGCTGGGAGGTCCGGGGGCCATGACGCTCCCAGCTGACTTGGGGCTCGTCGCTCGCCCTCCGCCGAACCCGCCTCGGAGGGCTGTTGTTCCGAAGATACGCGCGGAGTGGGGCAGAACGAGGCCTGCCGCAGGGGGGATGAGGTGGGGGGGTGGCCGTGCGAGGACTGCTCCCGGAGGCCTGTGTCTGGGAGGAGCCGGGGCTCCCGTGGAGGGAGCGGGGCAGCAGGGGGCCCCTGCCCTCGTTGGCGGCATGGCAGAACCCGCTGCGCCCCTCCCGGGAAGACGGCCTTCTTGAGGGCTGGCCACGTGTCCCAGAGAAGGTGAGTGGGAAAGACGCTCAGCCTCCTCATGTCAGCTCCCCGGCCAGGTGAAGCCACGTCCCCAGGTGACCGAACACCTGTCCAGGCGCTCCCGTTGCTCGCCGCTCACGTCTCTTGGTCTGGCGGCCAGGGGGCAGCCGCACACTTATTGCTGCAACCTGCCGGCCACCGGACGGAAGGAAGCCTTGGCTGGCAGAGGGAGGGGCGTCTCCTGGCAGTCCTGCCTAGTGAGCAGAGACCTGGCTGGGCTGGCTGGGGGGGCTCACAAGCCTCGTGGCCAGGGGCATGCCGCATGTATTTTATACATTTTATATTTTTATATTTTGTATTTTATATTTTGTATTTTAACTTTATGTTGTGAGCCACCCCGAGGCTTCGGCGAATGGGGCGGCATAGAACTGTTTTAATAAATAAATAAATGCACGTGCGCCAGTGCGCTCCTGGCGCAGCCTGGGGGGCTTCCCGGCCTGGGAGGGGCGGTTGCCGGGAGGGATCAGCAGGCCGCCCACGACGGAGGGACAGGCCGCGGTCCCTGGGCGGCTTCTTGACTCCGCGCCCGGGCCCCGGCCAGCACGAGGGATGCAGCGGCAGGGCGGGGTGGCAGCCGGCCAGGCCGGCTCCCCGTGGAAGGAGCCCTCGTTCCATGGAAGGCCAGGCGGCGACGGGGGCCGAAGCCCCACCTGGCCTGCCCGTTTCTGCAACCGCAGGAGCCGCACGGGGACTGCAGAGGCCCAGGCTGGGGAGGGCCTGCGGCCCAGTGGGTGCCCCAGCAGCCCACCTCCCAGCCCAAGCCGCCCAGCCCAGCCGAGCGCCAGAGAGGCGCTGGTTCTCGGGCGGGGGGCGACTCTGGCACCCGTCCTGCTGCGGAGCCGCCCCGTCCGTCTTCCTCGCCGAGGCGGGCAGCCTCACGGCCCCTGCGAGCCCTGCCTCCTCCTCCCCCCTCCTTGTGCTGGCGGCTGTCCCCTCCCTCCCCCAGGTGGGCAAGCAGGTGAGTCGGGGCAGGTGTGGGGGGGGAGTGCCATTCCCTCTGCCGGCCCCCCTGCGGGGGACCCATGGACTGGGCCACTGGGAGTGGGCAAGCGGGTTGGGAGAGGGCATGCTTTACGCCCGGGAGGGTCCCAGATCAGCCCTGGCCGGGCTCCTGCCGGCTTCCGGGAACGCGCCCCCCTGCTCCATGCAGGGGCCCGATGCTGAACCGAGGAGGGGGGAGCAGAGCCTTTCCGCTGGGGCCGCTCTGGCACGCTGCGCTGGGCAGGCCACAATTTCCACAACCGAACATGCACGGAGAGATGGACGGCCCCTTCATGGTGGTCTCCAAGACATAACACGACTATGGAATGACTGTTGATTACCATCGTGAACCGCAAATCCTGCTCGGTGCCTTTCATCCAGAATGCTTTCTGCAGTGTGTTTATTGGTGTGTTGAACGTCAGCTGGAAATTTCCCCTTTCCCTGCACCCCCCATATTCTCCCAGTCTTCTGCCCCCCAGAGCCCCCTCCTGCCTGCTGCTCCTTTCCTTTAACCCCTTCCTCTCGCCTGCTGCCCAGCCTTGAGCGGTGCCGTTCCTCGGAGACGTGAATGCAGCCAGCAGCCCCATCGGGAGTGAAGGGCTTCCCCATAAAGCCAAACATGATTAAGACCCTTCAATGAACAGAGCACGGGTTTTATTTGCTGTTGTGCTAATCTACACTCAAGGGACATAACGCAAATGTCCGGAATACTTGATGTTTTAGCTTTGGATTTATAGAGAAAAATAATAAAATCTGATATAAACAAAAGAGACAGAAGCAAACTAACCCTCGGCCAATCTACCGAGAGGGCAGATTCAGAGAGGGGGTGCCGTGTGGGCCCCCAGCCGGAAAGCACCCCCCGGCCGCCTGTCGGTCCGGTGTCGGGGCGGCCCCTCCGGGCACGTGGAGGAGCCTCTGGGGCCAGGTGGCAGCCGCCTTCACTGGAGTAGGTACTTGCACAGGTAGGCACGTTCCGATTTGCAGTTCTCGTCATTCCAGCGCCTGTACCCTGGAAAGCAGGAAGAAGCAGCGGTGGACGCGCCATGGCGAGAGGGAAGCCCGGGGGGGTTAAGACCTGCGGAGCCCCCACTTCGCTGTGAAAGTGGACCTTTCCCAGGGGGTGGGGTGGGGTGGGGTGGGATCAATACGACTGATGCCTCTCGTGCGGTTAGGGGGACAAGATCCCGTCAGTCCGCACGATCGGCAACGGTGCCCAGCAGCCAAGCAAAGCAGGAGTGGTCCGAGGGAGTCGGGGGCAGAGGCCATTCCGGAGGGGCGTTTCACATTCCGGTCTCCGGCCCAAGCATAGTCTTGGTGCGACTGATGCCTGGGAGCCCCTGAAGGGGACATTTGGGATTGCTGGCCAGCACAGAGTAATTGCAGGGTCTATCAAAAGGGGGGTCCTTTGTCAGCCGGCAGAACCTGCAGCCCCTCCTGCGGGGAGATCCCATTCCTGGGAGGCCCGAGACTGGCCTGGCGGGTCACGGCCCCCAGCGCCCCTTGCGCTCACCTGAGAGAGACCACAGCTCCACGCAGGCCTCGTCGTTCTGCAGGTTGTTGGGCTCCCCGGTGTTCCAGGGCTTGTAGCCAGCGGAGGTTCGGTCGGTCCAAGTCCACACTCCATTCTGCATGGACAGAGAGACAGTTTGCACCCTGGGCAGAGACCGGCCCGGAATGGCCCCATGGTCGTATCTGTCACGCTCATTCGCAGCAAGTCAGGTGCCTTGAATGCCGCCACGGGGAGGCCACGGCGTTCTCCGGGGTCCCTGTTCTGAGGTCCTCCAAAGGCCGAGCTCTGTCGGGGCAGCTGCAGAGAAGGCCCTGCTGCGTTGGGGGCTTCACAGCCCCAGAGGCGCAACTCCCAGCGGGGCTCAAGGGCCCGGCTGCGGTTCCCATGGGAGGGGCCATGCCCCGTAATCACTTGGGCCCGAGCCCACGAATGCCGTGTGGGCCACATCCCAGGGAGCTTGGGCTGCCGGGCAGAAGAGAAGGGAGCGCACAGGAAGAAAAGCAAGCAGCGCTGTGCAACGGGCCGGGGACGGGACCGGCCACAGCTCTCGACGTGGCGTCCTTTGAATATCACGCAAGGTGTTTCTTTTCTTTAAAATCTGCCGGCCTTTGGGAGCTCCACACACTGCTTTAAATATGACCTCTTTATATATGCTTAGCCAACTGAGGGATGTCCATTCATTATGAGCCGATTAGCATCCCAGCACTGAGATATGTGATCAAGGAAACTCTCTCTCCGGGTTTAGCTGTTTGGGAGACCACCTGCCAGGGGACCGGGGGAGCCTGGCCTGCCCCATTTGCCGCGCGGGGGGGAGGGCACTGCTGGCGAGGGTCCCGTGGCAGACGCAGCCCACATGTGGGGCCGGGGTTGCGGGCCGAGAGGAGGATGCCTCACTGGGGTTAGGATTCGCTTTCATTGTGAAGGTAAATTGAATGCATGTTTGTCGTAAGAACCCGAGCAAAGCCCTGCTGGATCAGACCCCAGTCCCATCCAGTCCAGCTCTCTGTACCCACGGTCCGGAACCAGCCACACATGGGATGCCGGAAGCGGGGCGGGTGCAAGAGCGCCCCCTGCCCAGCCCCTCCGCGCCCGCTGCACGCAGGCGGGCTGCCCCTGGGCAACGGGCTCAGGTCCCAGCAGCCCCTGCGTCCCTATAGGTCCTGTTACGAGGGCCACGGACTTTCTGACTTGCAATTCTTCCTTAGTTTTGGCCAGCCGGGAGTGATCCCCTGCTGGGGCATTTCCTGAGCCAGGTCTCAGGCGGGGGGCAGCTGCGTTCTCGACCGGGTTCCAGCTTCGGTTCCTCTTCTCCAGAAGGAAGCTCCCGCTGCATCCCAGAACTTTGGAGACTGAATTATTGCTGCCAGGCACCTCCGGCACAAGCCCTGCAGAATTAATCTTTTACCCCGGCCAGCCCCTGGAATGTTTTCTTGTGCTCAGTTAATGCTAGCCGTTCGATTTTTGTATGCACATTGCTAAGCACTTTGGGAAAATTTGCCAGAAGGCAAGAGATACAGCTTCTGTGTGTTGGAAAAGAATTCCAGGATCAATGCAGCTGCGGATGAAACCGGTGCAAAGAACTTTAAAAATGGCTTTTAAAACTTAAAAATTAGAAGCAAGCAAGCAGCCACAGAAGGCACCCACCTTTGAGTAGTCGCGCATTCCAATCCAGACGTTTCCATCATCGCTGCGATACTTGAGGATGTACTTGGCCAGTTCAGAAGACTCTGCATCGCCGTGGATGGAGGCGAGGTGGCCGCCGGACGCTTCGAACTGGCAGGCGAGCTGGGGGGGGGCGGGGGGCAAAGAACAGCGCTGGTACCAAGGAGGGGTGGCATGCAGGGAGGCGGATCCGGTGACCCTCGGGGCGTCTTCCCCGCAAACAGTAGCAGCCCCCATGCGGTGCATCTCCGCAGGCTGCGAGGACCGTGCCCAAGCGGGGAGGGCCGGCAGGGGCAGCCCTGGGCAGCACGGGGTGGCGGCGCTCACCTCTGCTTCGGGCCAGCTCAGCTTGTTGTTGAACAGCCGGTAGCAGTAGCCTCGGTAGGGCAGCCAGTCCATGGGGCAGCAAGCGGCCCCGGCACCTGTTCGGGAGCCAGAGGAAAGCCCCTCAGAGGCTGGTCTGGGGGCCCATGGCGGGAATCCCATGGCCCTTCGGATGCCTCTGGAGGGGCGCAGCAGCCGGACAGGGCTGACAGGAGAGGGCTGCGGGGAAAGGGGGCAGAGCCCCTGGGGGATGGAGGACCCCGGTGGACCAGGGGCCCAGCCAGTCTGACGTGGTCCCCAGAGAGGCCCGCCCGCACGGGGAGCGCCCCGGAGGCGGGCGGAGCGGCGCTGAGGAGCTGGACCCCCACGGGACTCACCTGCCAAGCAGCAGCTCAGCACGAGGAAGCCAACGACGCTGCAGTAGGCGAGACTCCCCTTCATCTTCCTCTCTTTCCTAGGGGGAGGGAGGGAGCGCCGTGGGGGAGGTGGCCCGTGAGGTGCTGGCCTGCAGGCAGGCTGGCCCCAGGCCGGCAGGACGGGAGCCTTTGCGCAGGACGGAGGTGGGGCAGCTGGAACTGTCCAGCCCCGTGTGTCCCATGCGGGCGACCGGCTGCGCAGAGAGCCTGCTAGAAGGCCCCCACCTGCAGATCTGTGAGGGGGGTGCTGCTCCCCAGGGCGTGCCAGCTGCCCCCCCGAGGGAGCTGCGAGGACGCTGGTGAGCTGGCGAGCGGAGTGGTTGGCCTGGGGAGGGGCCGAGGGTGGCCTTGCTCCCTGCAGCGCACCCTGTGACCACGGGACCTCCAGGCAGGTCTGGTGGGGGCACGCTGAGGCTTTGCGCCCCCATCCTTCTCGCACAGGGGGAGCGGGTAGGGAGTGAGGGGGTCATGCCTCCGGGGAGCCGCGGCCGAGAGCACTGCGCCCTGTGGGGCTCCTCGGACGCCAGGCATGTGGGGGGAGGGGGCGCAGCATGGCACCACAGAGGAACCCGCTCCGAGACCACCCTGGGGCAGGCCTAACGGCCCCCCCGGCGCACTTGGAGGTCTCGTCCAGGGCAGCCCCTCCAGCTGCCGAGAGGAGTCTGCTCCCTCCACTCCACACGGAAGCTTGGTGGTCTCCGGGCGGGCGGGTGGGCGCCCGGGGCCCCAGGGGCCAGGGTGCCTCCGCTGCGGGCAAGGCAGAGGCCTGCCACTCGTTCCCCCCGCCTCCTGCCCCGACATGCCCCTGCAGGCACCGCAGGCACCCAGGCGGCTCAGGGCTCAAGCGGGTCGGCAGAATCGATGCCTCCTGGCCTGGCGTCCCGGCGCCGGGCCAGGTGCCTGCCCAGGTACGCACCTTGCTCTCTGCCTGGCAGGCGATCTGGCGTGGGGCAACTCTGGCTGCACCTGTGCGGTACACACACCTGACTCCGGTATTTACAGCCCTGGGAATGGGAGGGGCTGCCTTTGTGCAGGAGGCCGGGCACCAGGCACCGGGCAGGTTTCCAAGACTTTTGTCCCAGCTCATGCAAATGCCTCCAGGCTACGCTTCCAAAGTCTCCATGCATGGCCTAACAAGGAAACATAGAGCGAGTCAGAAGGGACCTCGCAGGCCATCTAGTCTGACCCTGGCTCCAGCCGGCTCCGCTCACGACATGCCCACCACGTGCACGTCCAGCCTATCCTTGAACACCCGCACAGATGGGGCCTCCACCACCTCTCGTGGAAGCCCATTCCACACCCTTGGGGTCCTGACTGCCAGGAAGTGCTTCCTGGCATCCAAATGCAACCTTGGTTCCCTGAGCTTTGCTCCGCTGGAGCGCGTCCTGCTTTCCTCTGCAGGGGAAAACAGGTCTCTACCCACCTCCGCGTGACACCCCCTCGCATACCTGTATGTTGCCAACACATCCCCTCTGAGTCTCCTCTTCTCCAGGCTGAGGAGACCCAGTTCCCTCAGTCTCGCCTCACACGGCATCCCCTGCAAACCGGCCACCAGCCTTGTGGCCCTTCGCTGCACCGACTCCAACCTGGCTATAGCCTTCCTGTAATGAGGGGCCCAAAACTGAGCACAATACTCCAGTTGCGGGCGCACCAGAGTCGCATAGAGTGGCAGCAACACCCCTCTTGATCTAGAAGCCACACTTCTGGCCATGCAACCAAGGGTGGCGTTTGCCCTCTTTGCCTCCGCATCACACGGCTAGCTCATGTTCAGCCTGCAGGCGACTGGCACCCCGAGGTCCCTTTCACAAGTGCTGCTCTCCAGCCACTTGTCACCTAACCTGTACTTGTGACACCCATTCCCATGCCCCAAGTGCAAGCCCTTAATGGCTTGGGTCTTGGTTACCTGAAGGAGCGCTTACGTCCATATATGCCCGCCCGCCCCCTGAGATCTGCGGGAGAGGCCCTTCTCCGGGAACCCTCCGTGAAGGAAATTAGGAGGGTAGGTACTCGGAGGAGGGCTTTCTCTGCGGTGGCACCCAATCTATGGAATGCGCTCCCCAGAGAGGTCAGCCTGGCGGCGTCGCTATTTGTTTTTCGGCACCAGGTGAAATCCTTTTTATTCAAACGTTATTTTAATTGTTAATATTATTTATTTTATTCTTTGGCCAGGTTGACTTAATTTATACTGTTAAATTATATTGTTTTATAGGATGGTATTTATTTATGTTTGTGAGCTGCTCCGAGGCTTTGGCAAATGGGGCAGCATAGAAGTTCCCTAAATAGATAGATAGATATAGATAGATAGACAGACAGACAGACAGACAGACAGACAGACAGACAGATAAGACCTTGCACTTATCCACTTTGAACGCCATCCTGTTGTCTCCTGCCCACTTCCATAGTCTGTCCAGATCCTTTTGGATCTGAAGTACCTGCTCCCCAGTTGTGGCCACTGCTCCAGTTTTAGTGTCAACTGTGAATTTGATCAGCAGACTGTTCACCCCTTCTTCCATGTCGTTAATGAAAAGCTTAAACAGGATCGGCCCCAGGACAGAGCCTTGGGGGACCCCGCTTGTCACTGGCCGCCATCCCGATGATTCCCCGCTAATGGTTACCCTCTGCTTTCGGTCAGTCAACTGTGCCCTAATCCACCGGACAGTGCTTTGGTGTATCCCAAAACTCCTCAGTTTCTCCACCAGGATATCATGGGGCACTTCGTCAAAGGCCTTGCTGAAATCCAGGTAAACCACATCACTGCATCCCCTCCATCTAGCCATCTCGAAACCTTGTCATAGAACTCCACAAGGTTTGTCTGGCAGGACCCGTTTTTGCGGAAGCCGTGTTGTGTGGCTGCCAGCCTCCCTCCCCTATCTAGCATCACTAGATCTCTCTCTATTATGAGCCTTTCCATTGTTTTTCCTACAATGGACGTAAGGCTAACAGGTCTGTAATTCCCCATGTCCCCTCTACTACCCTTTTTGAAAATTGGGACCACGGATGCCACCCTCCAGTCCTCTGGAACTTCACCCGTTCTCCACGAGGTCTCAAAACTGGAGGCCAGCGGGCGTGAGAGAACCCCTGCCAACTCTCTAAGTACTCTCGGGTGTAACCTGTCAGGGCCTGGCGCCTTTGCAATGTCCAATGCCCTGAGGAGCCCCTCGACTTCAAGGGGGGTGATTAATCTGTGCCCCTAAGTCCCCAGCCTCATCTAATCTCCTATGCGGATCTCCCCCGTCCTGCCTTGGGGAGAACACAGAGGCAAAATAGTCATTTAGCATCTGTTCTTGTTCCCTTGTATTAGTCACTGGATCACCTTCCTCCTTATTTAGCGGTCCCACTACTTGTCTCCCCTTCCTCTTGCTATTTACGTGCTGACAGAAGCCCTTTTTGTTGCTCTTGATATTCTTGGCCAGTCCCAGCTCGCAATCAGCCTCAGCCTTGCGAAGGATCCTTCTGCAAGGGGCCTCCCCCCTCCCCCGTATTCCCTTTTGTCTACCTGCCCCAGTGCCCATTTCCTGCGGAGGTTCCGGAGGTGCTTCCGGAGCCCCTTACCTGCTGCCGCTGCCACGAGAGGAGGAAGGCAAAGCCCAAGAGCAGCCTCAGGTCCAACTGGGCCGGGGGGACACACCATGACTGGAGCAGGTGCCCGCAGGGGGCCCCGGGCCTGCTCCTCGTGCCCCTCCGCTGGCCTCCACGTGGGCCTGCAGGGCCCCCTCCCCACAACTGGGCCCCCTCCCTCCCGCCCAGCCGAGGGGCACGTGGCCGGCTGGAGGGGCCGCCAGTGGCCACGCTCTTTGGCAGTGCCAACGCTCCACGCCGCAGGCAGGTGCAGGGCCGGGCGTGCACCCGTTGTGCTGCGGGGGGCTGCGCCCGTCCTCACCCATCCCGGCTTGGCTCGGCCGCCACCCATAGGGGCACCCGCCCAGCAGGCCCACCCGCAACAGAGTGGCTGGGGGCTGCCCCCCAAGCGCTCCACTCAGTGCTGCACGGCACCATCGCACGGTGGGGCGGGGAAGGGGCTGCGGCCAGAAGCAGGCTCCTTGCAGGTGTTGGGAAAATTTGGATAACTGCTGCCTGAAAAGCATTACTCCTGTGTGCCTTTGCACTGTGGGATCAAATCCTGCCTTCCTTCTCAAAACCAAGCTGCCACCGTTTAAAATGGCATTCATCCCCCGCTCCTTTCTCTCACCTTTAGCTGTGGGCTACAGCAGACAGGCCATTTAGTCCAAATTTACATGGTATACCTTCACAATGATTAAATAATCATTGTTGGAATTCAAGGTAGTATCTTTCTAGCCCAGAGGGCTTCATGTGCCCTGATCATGCAGAGTGTTTAGACTTGAGATGGGGGTCTGAGCTTATCATGGGTAGTTGCTAGTGGCTTGAATTTGCATGTCTGAGCAGGCCTGGAGGTGGGTTCAAGTTACTCAACTAAAGTGTCAATACAGGCAATTAGAAATATTGTAATCTCATTGTTACAGTGTGATTGACTGACATTCCTTTATCTGCTCTGCATGTGACGACCTCAGAATCTTATTGTAATCTCTGCATTCTGTCATCGATTGCCCTGTGCTTGTGTACCTATAAAATGCCCTGCAGTGTGTTGAAGCTTTGCAGCAGAGTTCACCCCTGCCTGCCCGGTAATGCAGCACGCATTATCGTGAGCACCGCGGGAACCTTGGGGTAAATACAATAAAGCCTCAGATGGTCTGGAGGCTTGGTCTTTCCCACGAACCCGAGTTTTATAGGGCTGGAGAACTGGCCGCGCGCACGGTGCTTCAGAGGTGCTGGAAGAGTGCCAGCCTCTTGGCGCAGCCTCGGCACTCAGGCAGCGCAGGGAATGGGGAAGGAGGAAGTGTCCCTCTCCACCCGGAGGGGTTTTCCTGGCAAGGTCTGGCAACAGGCGCCAGGGCCCAGCCCCACAGCCCAGCTTAAGGGCCGGGGGAAGGTCAGCAGCACCCTGCCTCCGTGGCCACGCTGTCACTCGCAGCAGCCCTGATGTTTCGCTCCTGGTGCTGCCCTGCG